GCGGAGCCCGCGCCCCACATGGGAGCTGCGGCCGGGGCCTTGGTGACCCGCGAGGCCGAGGAGCGGCCGCCCGTCCCCACAGCGGCCGCCCGCTCCTGCCCGGCGCCTCGCTCCGCAGCCCCCCGTGCTGCCGGTGCAGGGCCTCGGCTCATCCCCCTGCCCCGTGAGGGGCCACGGGCAGCTAATGGCTCCCGGCTGGCGCTGGCCCGGCTGGCCCTGGCCTGGGGGGCTCCGCGTGGCCTCTGCTTCGCGCCAGGGCAGTCAGCGTGGCTGGTGGGGCCGGGAGCTGCCGTGGCACTGCCGGGGTGGAGGCGTGAGGCTGCAGCGTGATGCCCAGCCGCTGTTCCCGGCAGCGTTGGGCCTCCACTTCACCACCATGGAGGGCAAAGCCCCTCAGCTTGGTGCCCCCCGCGCCTGCCCCTGCGGCCTGCTGCGGCGCCCCGCTGGGGGACCGCTGTGGGGACAAGCCGTCCTGTCCCTGCCCGCAGCCGGGCCCGCACCGGCGCCCCGCTGGGCAGGGCTGCCGGGCCTAATCAGAGGGCGTCGTGCAGCGAGATAACGGCTGCAGGCGGCGAGCGGGCGCTGGGCCGCGGCCTTGTCCTCGGCGCCCTGCCTGCCCCACCTCGGTCACACGCTGCTTACTCACCGGTGGCTCCCGGCTGGGCCGTGGCGCCGGCCGAACGCTTCCCCGCCAAAGCACTCCCTGCCCTTCTGGGCGCTGTGGCCCGACTCCGGCCGTGGGCCTCCGCTCCGCAAGGGTGTCCCTCCCCATGGAGAGGTGTCTCGGGAGAGGATCTGCCCGCTGGCGGAAAGCCATGAGTCCAACACATTGTCCAGCTGGGAATGGGGGGGCCCTGCAAGGAGAAGGAGCTCTGCTTGCATCGAGGTGGGCTCTGGAGGCCAAGAGGACCTCGTCTGTATAAGGAAGGAACATGCCCAGGGCTATGTAAATCATAGAATCATAGAATGGTTAAGGTTGGAAGGGACCTCAGAGGTCATCTAGTCCAACCCGCCCTGCTCACGCAGGGTCCAATATGTGCCTTGACATTAAAGCTCTAAAACAGGGCTGCAAGAATCCAGGACATCACAGAATCAGAGAATATTCAAGGTTGGAAGGGACCTCTAGAGATCATCCAGTCCAACCTTCCTGCTCAAGCAGGGACACCCAGAGCACGGGGCACAGGGTGGCATCCAGGCGGGTTTGGAGACCTCCAGAGTAGGAGACTCCACAACCTCCCTGGGCAGCCTGTTCCACTGCTCTGTCACCCTAACAGTAAAGAAGTTCCTCCTCACCTGGAGACAAAACTTCCTGTGCTCCAGCTTGTGGCCATTACCCCTTGTCCTATCGCTGGCCACCAGTGAAAACAGCCTGTCCCCTTCCTCCCTGCGTTCTCCCTTCCTGAACTTATACACGTTAATCAGATCCCCTCTCAACCTTCTCTTCTCCAGAGAAAACAGGCCCAGCTCACTCAGATCTACATATTTTTTTTTGTTCGTTTTTGTTTGTTTTTTAACGTTCTGCTTGATTTTGGGTTTAAGGCATGGAGGGTGCCATGGCTGACAAGGCTGGCACTGGTACCACACGGGAACTGGGTCAAAACCCTGGCCAACATGTTGCAAGCCTTAGCGCGAAAACCAAAGCGCGGAGGGCAGGGGAGGCGGCGGGCGACGGCACCCAGGCACCGTGAGGAGCAGAAGGCACCAACGCTTGTTGTGGCACCTGAGATAAGTAGCGGAGGCCGAGTCAACGCTTTCCACGGATGTTGTTCTCAACACCTATAAAACGCAATTAATGCTGATACGCTGGCCTAAAAAAAAAAAGGGAAATCAGCCCCGAAATGGGTGAAAGTTCATGGGCAGTCGCCGCAGCTGGGACTTTGCACCAACAACCCCAGCCCCTCCTGTCCCCCACTTAGTGGAGGAGGACAACAACATTTAGCTAATGAATTACGGGCTGGTGTGGGTCCTTCCCTGTGGCCCAGCTATCACTCAGCGCCAATCCCCAATCAGGGCCCAGGTGATTTTGCAATCCTTGGTGCTATTTCTGTGGGGTTGGAGTTTAAACTTTGCCACTTGGGCCAGGACACTGTGGAGGAGGAGGTGGCTGTGTCCCTTGTCTGCCTCGTTCTGCTTGTGTGCCGAGGGGGCTTGAAGGATCGGAGGCTTCCACAGAGCCCGCTGCTAGGGCTGCGATCTAGCACAGGTAGGTCCTGGGTGCCACTGGGTGCTCGAGCTCCTCTGTCAGTATGGGGACAGAGCAAGGTGCAATAAATCCCTGTGCCAGGGACATCTGGCCAAACATGTCCCCAAACCAGACTTGATTGGGCTCTTAGGTGAGCAATCAATAGGCCAGGAGGGTGAGAGGGGTGGTGGGTTGGGGAGCAGCTGAGTGGTGGTTTGGTGGTCGGTTGGTTGGTCAGTCGCAACAGGTCAACAGGTTGTTTGGCTGGTTCTTCACCTGGTTGGCCAGCTGGTTGGTCAGTCAATCAGTCAATCAATTGATTGGCCGGCTGGTTATCCATTTGGTCTGTTTATTGCTTGGTTAATTGGTTAGTTGGTTGATTCAGCCGGTTTGTTGGTTGGGTGGTTGTCAACTGGTTGGCCAGTTGCTTGGTTTGCCAGCTGGTTGCCTGCTTGGCCAGTTGGTCAGCCAGAGGTTTGATCAGTTGGTTTGTTACCTAGTCCATGGGCCAACTGGATGCGTCTGGGGTATCGAACAGTTTCTGATAACTGGCGCAGGCTTGGCAAACCCAGACTGAGTCTCCTCCTTGGGGCTGGCCAACAGTAGCCCTGCCCCATTAGCCATCCAAAATGATTAACCTGATCTTCCCAAGTGCCTGAGCAGGTTGCTCACAGTGGTCTGTTGGGGAAGCTGAGAGGGTGCCCAGGTCTGGGTGCTGCTTCTCCTCCTGCCCTAGTGGACAGGGCCAAGGCAAGCGTATGCCCTTGGGGAGGGTCAGCCGTTTTCCTTTGGGGGAAAAAATACAGTAATTGGGACTTTTCAGCCTTTGGAAAGGGGCTAAGGGGGGGAACCGTGCCCAGCAGAGCCGCCCTGGCCTCCTGAGGCAGTGTGTGCACACAGCGCACACACCTGCATGCTCACACGTGTGCTCCTCTTTCCACATGTGCACTTGTGGAGAACTTGGGCTTGCCCAGATATGCTCACACATGTCCAGACATGCACCCACACGGCTGCATGGCCATGCACATGCAGACACGAGTGCACATACATGCACGTGGTCACGTATACATGCCCAGATGCAGATGTTCCCCCATACATGTGGCCATACGTGTCAGCATGGTCACACATGTGCACAGTCACCTGCATCCACATGATCCTCCACGTGTCCACATAGGCACAGCTCTGCATACAAGTATGGAGACACATCCCCAGTGTCTCACCCCCCTGTCCCTTGCGCCCACTCCATGGCTGGGCCCTTGTGCCCAGCCCCAGGGCCATGTGGTTTGGGGAGGTGCCTGGGTCCCAGGTGCAGAGGCCACCAGTGACCGTGGGGCTGGGGGGACAATCACCCCATAGGGGAACCACAGTTGGTGGCACCTGCGGCCAGGTGGATTCTGCCGCCCCCCAGCCATGGCCTCCAGTGTGGGTGGCCTCGACAGCCTCGACCTGCTGGATCTTCTCTTCGACCGTGAGGATGGGATCCTGCGCGGTGTGGATCTGCGGATGCCCGTGGGCTCCTGGCAAGAGGATGTGGTGAGTCCCGTTAAGATGTCCTGCCTCACACCAGCGCCCAAAGCCTGGACCTGGCATGACGACCACATTCCTGGCACTTGCACGTGGGCTGGGGAGACACAGGGAGCCTGCCTGGCAGGGCAGCTTCTGGGGCACCCTGTGCTCACAAGTTCCCCGCGCTGACCAGTGTCCCTGTCCCCACAGCGTGCCCCAGATGGCGAGGACTTCCTCAGCTCCATCCTGGGCTTCCGGGAATCGGCGTCGGACTCTCCCAGCTGGTCTCCAGCTGCCAGTGACAGCGGGGTCTCTGATGACCCACCCTCCGATCAGCTTGACAGTCCCCTGGGGTGCTGCGATGGGGGGCCCAGCGACAACCCCTGCCCCTACCCTGATCCCAGCCAGCCCCTGCCCGTGCTGGGAGTGCACAGGGCCCCGCACCCGGAGGTCTCCATCGACCTGGGTGAGCCAGGGGGAGAGACCAGTCTGGGGTTTGGGAGGGTACTGGGATGAGCTGGGTTCACTGGGGAAACTGAGAGGGGTGGGGGAGCTGGATGCACTTGGGGGTACTGGGGTAGGTGGGGGAGTTGGGGGTCTGGAGGGGACTGGGCAGGCTAGGGAGAGCTGACTGGGGAAAGCCAGGGCACTGGGAGCAACTGGGCAGAATGGGGGTGTGGAGGAGGTGGGCAGGGGTCCTGCACCAAGGCCAGGCGGGACACAAGACGCGGGAATGCTGATGGCACCCGCTTCTCCTTTGCCCAGACGTATGGCACCCTGGCTGCTACCTGGAGGAGACCCAGGACCCTCCCACGGTCCCTGCGCCTGCATCCTGCACCCTCACAGTCAAGGACCTGCTGCTCTCAGGCAGCTCTGACCCCGTGAGTCCCTGTGTGCCCTTCCCTGGCCTTCCCTGGGATGATCCCTGGGATGATCCCTGGCCTTCCCTGGAATGATCCCATCGTCATCCCCATCCTTACCCCTGCCCCCTACTCAAGCACGATCCCATCTTCATTCCTGAACCAAGGTCTCATCTCTGTCCCTTACCTAGCCATGATCCCATCCGTATCTCCATCTCTGTCCCCTCCCGGACCATGGTTCCATCCCAACCTCAGCTTCACTGCTGCCCCCAGGGCCTTGGTGGCCCTTGTGGTCCCCTAGGGTGGGATGACCCTGCAGCCTGGGGATGTCACCAATCTGTGGCCCTGCAGCAGCTGCCGGTGCCCAGCTCCTTGCTGCGGCAGAGCCAGGGGCAGTGCCAGGAGCTGGTGCTGACAGAGGATGAGAAGAAGCTGCTGGCGAAGGAGGGGGTGTCCCTGCCCAAGCAGCTGCCCCTCACCAAGGTGAGTTTCGCATTGGCCAGGCACAGGGTGCCCAACACTGTGGCCACTGGTCTCCTCTGCATCCCTGGGGCCATCAGGCTCAAGGTGCCACCCTGCCCCCTCTCTTGCCCAGTACGAGGAGCGGGTGCTGAAGAAGATCCGGAGGAAGATCCGGAACAAGCAGTCAGCTCAGGAGAGCCGCAAGAAGAAGAAGGAGTATATCGATGGACTGGAGAGCCGGTGAAGCCCCCGACACCCCTGAACCAGCCTGCTCATGGGCCAGCTGCACCCCAGTGTTACACCCGCAGCCTGGGGCGACAGCGGTGGCCGCGAGCTCAGGGCCATCCCCTCCTTATTGCATCCCCTTCTCCCTGTCCCCCAGGATGTCGGCATGCACGGCCCAGAACCAGGAGCTGCAAAGGAAGGTCCTGCACCTGGAGAAGCAGAACTCGTAGGTGCCCAAGGGGTACAAGAGGGGCATGGCAGGGACCTGGGGACCAAGGGTGAGGCCTGGTTGGGGGGTTGAGAAGCCTCCTGGGCAAGCCCTACTCAGAGCAGGAGGGGCTCAGAGGAGAGTCCAGACCTCAGGGTACTGATGGAGTCTCTGTGTCCCCAGGTCCCTCCTGGAGCAGCTGAAGAAGCTCCAGGCCCTCGTGGTGCAGTCGACCAACAAGGCAGCACAGACAGGCACTTGCATCGCGGTGTGTTGGCCCCTTGTGTCCTCAGCCATGGACCCAAACCCTCCAAACACAACTTCCCCGGCCTCCCTTGGGTTGCGAGTCCCCTTTGTGGCCACCCTGGTTGAAGGGAGGGAAGAAGGGTTATAGGGATGGAGGTACTAGATGAAGATGTCTGGGCAGCAGTGTGCAAGGAGGGAAGGGTAGATAAACGCATGTACGGATGGGTGAATGGAAGAAAGGATGAAGATGTGATATGAAGGAGGAACAGCTGCTCCAAGGATGAATGGATGGATGGAAGATGGGATAGAGAGTGTGATAGAGTGGAGGAACAGAAGCACATAAGCATGGCTGGATGGAAGATGGATTGAGACGGAGCAGATGAGGCTGGAGGGAGGGAGGACAGTGTGCTGGCAGGGACACGTGGGCAGGGACAGGTGGCAGGATGTCGTCCTGGCTCTGCTGCAAACTGCGTCCCAGAGCCCGATTCTCCTCCACACAGTGACACCCTGCTCTGTCCTCAGGTTCTGCTGCTCTCCTTTGCGCTCATCGTCTTCCCCTCCATCAGCCCCTTTGCCCCCAGTAAGGCTGAGCCGAATGGCGACTTTGGGCCAATCCGAGGTGAGGAAGGCCAGAGGAGGATGGGAGGGCGTGGGGGGGGGTGCTGGAGCAGACCCTGACCCTCCCTTGCACACAGTTTTCTCCAGGTCTCTGCACAACGTCGCAGCCTCACGCGTGGCCTACATGCACCCCCGTCCTGGAGACGAAAAGCCCCCGGAGCCGCTGTGGCCGGAGCACCCAGGTGAAGCCCCCGAGACCCTGCACGAAGCGTTTAGCAGCCGCCAGTTCCCCCCACGCTCAGCTAGTGCCTCCCCCCGGAACGACACGCGGGCGCCCGCCCCAGGGGCGCTCGGCCGGAGCACCGGGGATGGCTCCGCACCAAGGGATGGTGCCGCGGCACCGCTTGCCTGGACCAAGGCCAGCCACGGCGGCCTGACGGCGCTGGAGCCGGCTGAGGAGCTTTAAGCAGCACCCAGGACTGTGGGGGATGCAACGGGGTGGCCCAGCACCCTATCTTCTATGGGACTGGCCTTTGGGGTAGCCCCGCTGGCGCTGCCCCTCCAGGAGGGGGGACAGGGGCTGGACCTACTTGGTTAGCTTTTATCTGTGAACTGGGAAGAGGCAACTGGTTCCTCCAGGCCTACAGGGATGGAAGGGGCTACTCTCACCCCCACAGACAGCAGGAATTGTAGGGAGATGCTGGGTCCCCCAGGATGGGAACAAGAGGACCAAGGGATTGACTGGTTGGTCATTGATATTGCAATGTAGGTTTTTTTTTTTTTTTAAACTTCATTTTCACCTCTAAATAAAAGTTATTTTGGAAAAAAAATATATATAACTTGCCTGAGTTGAGAGCCTGAGGAGAGTCATGGGAGAAATAATGGGCAGGGACCTCCATGTGCCCAGGTGAGGTGCAGGAGGAACAGAGAGCACTGCCAGAAGCACAGGAACCATCTCGCAGCTCCCAACACTGGGCCAGGATCTGGAGAAAGCTCTTCCTTGGGCCCCAGGAGGTCTGACCACAGCATGTTCTCTCCCTTGGTCCCTCAAACCCAAGTTCAAGAGAGGGAGAGGAAAGGAGAATTAGAGGATGCTGGAAGACAGTTACCTTCATCCAGAATAAGGCAGGGCAAGGAACTAAGTTCTAAGAACTGATACCAGCCACAGCTGCATCTGAAAGTATTCAAGCTCTGCATGCACCTCCTGCCAGGGTGGGAATAAGTGTTCTGAAGCCCAGGGGTCCTCATAAGAGGAACAAACCCCTCTGTGAACATAAGGCTCAAGGAGAGGTACAAGGCCATGCAGGAACCTGGCACTGGTGCACAACGCAGGAGATGTGGGGAATTCCTTGGATCTCTGCTCCTTCAGGCCACGTCTCACTCTATGTTTAAGCAAAACATCTTGTCCTGCTCCAACTTTGGGTCTTTCCCTGGCATCCCCAAGCTCTCCAGCCCCTCAGAGGCTGCAGGACATAGCTGGGCCCTGCTGTCATCTCCTTGCAGCTAAGGAACTGCTCCTCCTCAGCCTGTTTCAAGCAGAGGATGGATCACTCTCACCAGCCTGGTGAGTGCAGCTGAACAGACGTACACGATTCAAGTGTATTTAATACTTACATTAAAAAAAATGACAATATTTAAGGGTATAAAAAAGTTGGTAGGAAAAGGGGCACAGACTAGTGTCTAGACAGCCAGGGAACAGTCTGGGTCAGGTGAGGAGAGACTCCACCTTCATCTTCTTTGCTGTTGTTGGCCCCGTGTCTGGGCTGGGGCACTCCTGCTTCAGACTGTCACGGTGCTCCGTGAGCGTGGTCCCAAGGCCAGGGCGCACCCCAGCCGTACCGTTGCACTGGGAGATGGGCTCCTCTTTCAGCAGCCCCCGAACCCCAGGGTTGAATTGGAAGAGCTGTTCGGGCTTGACAAGCTCAGCGCTCTCCACCACCACTGGTCCTGTCCACTCGGGTACCTCCAGCTCCAGGTGCTTCATCAGCTTTGTCATGACATCATCAACGTAGCCGTGGATACGCAGGTCTGCCTGTCTGTCCTGGGGCAAGCAAGGGCAAGAATGGCATTAGGGGACAAACGGCTGCTCCGGGAGAGTGTCTGGGGACACCGAGTCCAGGGCTCCCAACCCTAAGACGTCATCCCCAGAGGAACCTGAACCGAGACTGTGACCATGGGGCTGTCTGGCACCACTCCCCATTATGCTGCTGGTGGACCGGGCTTTAAACACAACCCAGAAGAGGGGACATCAGCACAGAGCTGGGCAAGTGGCTCCAGGTCACAGTCAGAAAGGGACGAGGGATACAGAGGATACACTAAGTTTTGCGGATGGATTTATTTTACTGCTACAATTTACCTTGCACTTCTAGGTATTTAGGCAGAGCTGAAAGTTTAATCCCTTCAGCTACAGAAATCCAGTGCATTTGTTTGCCCCAAATGAAGGCTGAAGCAGGTAATGGGAGGAAAAAGGGGTGGAACAGAGCAAACCGCTGCAAGCGCAGCGGGCTAGACACTCACGTGCTTGGTTGCCTGTAGGTTCACTATGACCAGCTTCCCTCCCCTCTTTTTTGTGATCAGTGGGAGGTTGCCACTAGGTTTGATCTGCAGAGAGGTCCCCAGCGTGATGGAGAGGTCAGCTTTCCTGTGAGATGGAGACAAAATATGCAGGGCAGAATTTAGAAAAGTGTCTGTTCCCAGGCTGTTTCTCTCACCCGGCCCTAGCCTGGATCCTACAAATTTCCGAGCTAGTAAAGCTAAGTCATGGCCAGAATCCACAGCAGCTTTCCTAGGATACAGCCCCCAAGCTGCTCCCTGCCAGAGCTGAGGCACAAAACACACTGACCAAAACCAGGCAGGTGCAATACGAGGGCCGCTGTGGTCCTGGTGGAGGGCAGGGAACGCTGGCAGCCTTGCAGGAGCACCTGCAAGCTGCAGGCATCGGGAGCTGCTCCTGGGCTGCCACCCCGGGCGCAGGGACACAAACACAGTACCTGCAGGCTTCATCCGCCAGCATGAGGTCACGGTCAGGCAGGGAATCCTCCCAGTCCAAAATGGTGTCTCGTAATTTCCCTCTAGAAAAACACACAGAGCATCATTACCCCTGCCAGGTGGGAAGAGAGCTGCTGAACAGGACAGGATGGCTCCAAACCCTCCTCACACCCTCCTTGGCTGAGCACTGCCCGAGCAAATCGAGCCTGACCGTGGGTCCTGGCAGCGATGACTCCACAGATGAGAGAAATGCAGAATGTGCCTGCAAGAGGCATTTTGTGGCTAGCGCCACATTGCCACCGAAAGTCTTCAAGCCCCCAGCTGATTTGCTGGCCCAGCTCAGAGCTGGGGTGCCTTTTAGCTCCCAGCATCAGAGGTGGGTTGGCACAGTTCCGTGATATCTGATGATGCTAGGACATAGTCAGCTTTGGAGCAACAGAGCTGGAAACACTAGCTGTGTTTCCCTACTGAGGGTGGCGGCAGGGCAGGGCATGGGCCATATCCTGCTGCAGGAGGATGGATGTCTAGGGCTGCAGTCCTACGGCAGAGCATTCTCCAGCATGGGGACGTGCTCAGCTATCCACAACGGACGATGTTCAAGAGGTGGCTGTGTGGCCAGTAGTTGAGACCACTCAGAGACTCAGGCATTGGTCTCCTACCTGGGCCTTTGAGACCATCTCCCCTACAGATGCTTATTCAACTGAACTGGAGGAACTGGGGGACCACCACGAGGTCCGAGCAGCAGAATCACTTGCTCCTCCCCGCGGGGACATTCAGCCCACAGCCAAGTTCTGCAGGGCCCAAGGGGCCACCAGGGCCTGTGCCCAGGGGAGCCCCCAGCCAGCAGTCCCCCCCGCAGAGCCCCCCGGCGCAGACATACCTGCAAGCCCGCAGCCCTCGGCCTTTGGTGACGCTGCACAGCCTGCCCGTCGGCTTCAGCCCCATGCTGCCCACGACGGCGTCCCGCACGTACTGCCTGCGCATGCGGGAGAGACGGCGGCATTCGAGCCAAGGACGCGGAACAGTTCGGAGCCACCGCGCGCGGACGGGTGGCACAGATGCCTTGTGTGGCAGAGGTCTGCATACTGCAGGCACTCCCGACTAGGGCACTCAGGGGACAGCTCGGAGCTACCCAGAGTTTGGGGTCTCAGTCCTGTGCTGATTTGGGCCTTCGTCTCCACCTACGGCAACATCCCAGTGAGGGAGCTCTGAGCAACAACTCGGGGCAAAAGGGTCTGCTACAAACCAGGATGGAAAATCCAGAGTGCAGCAACCTCCTCTTGTCTCTCCAGTTCTCAGGGACCCTGTTGGCACCTGAGCCTCACCACACTAAGCAGGATTTGAGGGCAGAGAGGATTTTTTCCAGGTGATGGAGATCCCCCAAATGCTCATTCCCCACTACTTGATAGAATTTAGGATTCAGATAGGACAGACCTGTCACGGACCCAACCCCTTCTCCCGCACACACTCTGCTTAAGAGCCCTGTCAGACAGACACCCCTGTGGCACATGGGGGCCTCCAGACTTCTGCAGGGACAGCAGCGAACCCGTCACCCAGCTCTCGGGGCTCACGTACTTGCCGCATTTCACGCACTCCTCCACAAACATGTTCCCGTGCAGCTCGGCCAGCTTGTCCCTGTGGAAGGAAAGGCAGAGGTGAGCAAGAGAAGAGGAGCCTGGGAACACCTGGGGAAGGTGCCTGAACCCTTTTCTTCTTGGGGTGTCCAGTAATAAGCTGAGCTTTTCCTTTCCTCAACGTGCAATGTTTTTCCTCTGTCCCTGTGCAATTCTAATCCTCGGCCATCAGCTAGCTCAATCCACCAACCTGGCAAGAGCAGCTGTCATCGAATCATCGAACGCTTAAGGTTGGAAGGGACCTTTAGAGATCGCCTAGTCCAACCCCCCTGCACATGTAGTGTCACCCAGAGCATGGGGCACAGGATTCCATCCAAGCAGGTGTTGAAGATCTCCAGAGAAGGAGACTCCGCAGCCTCCCTGGGCAGCCTGTGCCAGCGCTCTGGCACCCTCACTGATAAGAATTTTTTCCTCAAGTTCCTGCAGAACTTTTAGTGCTTCAGTTTGTGGCCATTTCCTCTAGTTCTGTCAGTAGTCACCACTGCAAAGAGGCCGCCCCCTCCTCACTGCCTCCCTGGAGGTATCTACGACACTGCTCAGGTCCCTCCTCAGCCTTCTCTTCTCCAGGCTGAACAGACCCAGCTCCCTCAGCCTTTGCTCTCAGGGCAGATGTTCCAGGCCCCTGATCATCCTGGTAGCCCTGCGCTGGACTCTCTCCAGCAGCTCCACATCCCTCTTGTCCTGGGGAGCCCAGAACTGGACACAGTCTCCAGATGTGGCCTCACCAGGGCTGAGTAGAGGGGGATGATCACCACTCTCGACCTTCTAGAGACACTCTTCTTGATGCACCCCAGGATCCCACTGGCCTTTTTGGCCACAAGGACACATTGCTGCCTCATGGCCA